CTCGACGCTCGATCAAGGAAAAGCTTACCACCAAGGGTTTGTGCGACCGGAGTCTCGACCATATACTGCCTTTATTACCCCCTGGGGCTTATATGAATGGTTACGTATTCCATTTGGTCTTTCTGGAGCACCCGGAGCTTTTCAGGAGTTTATGGAAAGTACATTGTCAGACCTGAGGGATGAGATCTGTATGACGTGCTAGTCGTTAGCAAGACCCTTGAGGACCATCTGAACGACTTGAGGCAAGTTTTGAGACGACTTAAGGGTTCCGGTATCAAGCTTAAACCTACCAAGTGCTGTCTGTGCCAGAAGGAGGTTCGCTTTCTCGGACAATTGGTATCGGAGCAGGGGTGTCGCATGGATCCCGAAGACTTGAAGGCTGTTGTCAAGCTGAAGGATGAGACACCTAAGACTGTGAAGGAAGTGCGGCAATTGCTTGGTCTTCTGGGATATTACAGACGTTACATCCCAAACTTCAGTCGGAGGGCAAGCTGTCTATACGAGCTATTAAAGGAAGAGGAGGACTTGAAGGTCGAGAAGAAGTCCAGAAAGAGAACCTCAAGGTCAACAAAGAAGCAAGGCCATTCTAAGAGACAGGTGGAATGGACCAGTAGGCATCAAGCAGTGCTGGAAGAATTATTAGATGTTTTGACAAGTCCGAAGATCATGGCTTTTCCAGACTTTAATAGGCCTTTTGTACTGAGCACCGACGCTTCTCAGAACGGCCTCGGAGCTATTTTGTACCAGCAGCGAGAAGATGGAACTTATGCTACCATTGCTTATGGGTCAAGAACGTTAACAAAGGCTGAGAAGAACTATCATTTGCACAGCGGCAAATTAGAATTCCTCGCTCTTAAACGGGCAATCACGGAACGCTTTAGGGATTTCTTATACTACGCGCCTAGTTTTGATGTCTATACTGACAATAATCCGCTGACTTATATTTTGACATCGGCAAAATTGGATGCCACAAGGCAGAGATGGGTTGCGGAATTGGCAGATTATAATTTCAAGATCCACTACAAACCAGGGCGACTTAATACAGACGCTGGCGCACTCTTTCGGATGCCCTGTGAGGTGAAAGATTTGAAGGAATCCTGTACAGAGACTTGTGTCAAGGAGGAAATGTTGGCTGTGGTGGAAAGGATCTCTGTAGAGAAGTCTACCTTTGATGGGTTGGGTCAGTGCAGACCAGAGATCGGAAAGACAGGAAAAGGAGAGAAAGGTTTCGACAGGAGGAGCATAAAGACTTTGACCAAGAAAGAGATAGGTGAGTTGCAGGATCAAGACCCGATCGTCCATCGAGTAAAGAAGATTGTGAGGTCTGGACGTACTCCAGATAAGAAGTTCCTCAAGAAGGAATCTGTGCAGGTTCGGAAGTGGTTGAGAGATTGGAAGAGGTTTGTGATAGAAAAACATGTCTTGTACAGGGTGAGACATGGAACTGATGACCAAAGAATTACACAGATTTGTCTTCCCCAGGATCTCAGGGCAATGGTGAATAAGGAACTCCATGTGAATATGGGACACTTGGGGGCTGACAGAGTAGTATCCTTGACTAAAGACCGATTCTACTGGCCTGGGATGGCATCTAACATAACTCATTATGTTAGAAATGTCTGTACATGTGTCAAGGACCGGCGGCCTAACCTCCATTATCGGGCTGAAATGCAACCGATAAAGTCTTCTTAGCCTTTTGAGATGATTTCCATTGACTTTGTACATCTTGTACGGTAAGTGTATAGTATGACCGGAGGGCGCATGCGTAGCCCTAGTTGGAATAAATGTAACAACGCTGACTGAATGTCGCTCGTCTTGTTCTTTACATAACTCGTCAGCTCAGCCTGGCTGGGTACAAGGTTCCGGTAACCGTGGTAACAGATTCATCCGTTTTCATAGAATCTGCACACAGGAATTTGACATCAGCGAAGCGTTTCAAACTCTATTCTGAGCCATGCGCAATAGAAATTACTCTTACAGATTTCTACGAAAAATAAACATTTTGTGCTACATACCTTTTCATCCCCACTTCCAAAACCTAGTTCCTCTAACGTCAGGTAAGTCAGTTACCTGATCACATGTTTAAAATGTCCAATTTAATACGTCGGACAAACTTCCTTCCCTATAAGAGAACGATTTACATCGCTCTCAGATATAAACCTACACAAAACAAACCGCTGGCTGAACATTTCAATCAAGGCAACCAAAACAAAAGAGATGTAAGTATCGTACCGACTGAACAAGTAAGCAATACCAAATCCAAAGATGTTAGAGAACAGCATCAGATAGATAAACTCTAGACTTTGAAACTAAGCGGTATCAATGACAAGTCCGAACTAGAGAAAGACCGCAGTAGGCTGCAGTGATACTAAAACATCAATTCATGTGAAGGAACTTGCCATGACTTCTCAACTCACGGTCCATATACATGTATCAAAGTGACTATAAAACATGTATATAGATATACGGACCACGGGTTGGGGGTCCTGTGCTTGTTTAACCCTAACCCACGGTCCATATATATGTATCATAGTGACTATAATACATGTATATAGATATACGGACCACGGGTTGGGGGTCCTGTGCTTGTTTAACCCTAACCCACGGTCCATAAATATGTATCATAGTGACTATAATACATGTAAGATATATATACCAAGGGTTGCGAGTCCTGTGCTTGGTTACCCAAAGCGATGACGTACCGATACAAATTGCCTCGATTAGCACTGTGGATGATTTAAGATCCGAGGTCCGAGGAAATATTTTTCTCATGGTAAAATACTAGTCGCAATATACTGCCATGGAGTACTTCTCTTTAGCTCGATCGGTTGAGCATCAGACCAGATAACCAGAGGTCCCTAGTTCGAACCCTAGCAGAGGCATTGAAATAAATAATGACCAGTGTTACATTAGGGCCCACGTATTCGGGATGATACTTAGCCATGCCCAATAAGTATAGCCGTAACACCTGGAAACTCTAGGATGAATTATTTCTCGGAGAAGGAGTGCTTAAGTCAGGTAAAACACAGAAGAGAACTTCGGATTCGAATCATAGCGAAGGCATTGAAATAAATAACGTCTTCTGTTACACATAGAGAACAATGAAGTAGTTATGACAGTAAGGACAAGTGAATTATCAAAGTTTCGAGGCACTCGGTAATTTTATTCTATTATCATTATAAAATACCAACAGACAAGTCCAGTATTTGTGATAAGATAATCCAGGGGTGCTTTCCTTTTTAAAATAATGGCTGTTTGCTGATCTCATTTTACTCTCTGACGAGCAGTGACGAAACCTTTCGAGGCCTGTATCAATGCTTGAGGATCAGTCCCGGATTTTGTCGGAATGAAACCCCGACGAACAGGTTTGGCCTCATAAACAACCATTTTCTTTTAAAACAGCATGACCTTTGCTGTCAGGTTGTTAGGAGGACTCAACATACCGGCAACACAATTTACCAAAAGATGAAGAAGAAAGGAAGGAAGAAGAAAAAAACAAAAGACACCCAAAAAGTTCTAAAAGTCTTGATAGGTCCTCTGATACCGACAAAACATTTTAAATTTTGGTCAAAATAAATGACATTCGCTTCAAGAAAACAAAAGTTTTGTCCACTAGAAAAAAAAATAATTCAGGAACAAGCAATTTTGTTATGCTTCTGGCACAGACATTTGCTGTCCACAGACAAAACGAAGCTGTTGCAAAAATAAAACTCAGAACGAACCACAACACCAAGAAGCCGACATACTCCGTTATCTCTTTAGATGCTGCATTTGGAAATGGACGTGTGCGATTTTATTTTGCCTTATATATTTATTTGTGTCCAATTTTTCCGGTGGACTACAGTCTCTTTGTAAATAAAACCCATATGTTTATTGACACTTCTTTCTAAAGATCAAGATATCATTTATTTCTCTTATCCTTTTGTACATTACACTATAGGGCAAGTTGTATTGTACATCACAATACTGTGTGTGTCTGTCATCCTTTAAATTCACTGGTGTGACTTATTTGGTATTATTTATGACAAGTGTATTTTATCCTCGGACATTTTCATTGGATGTGCCATTCGGAAAACGGTTATGATGTTATAGTATGGTTAAGGACGGTATGTAATGGCGAAAACAAATATCAGTGTCTGAAACCATTAAGAATGTATTTTTTTTGTAAAGATTATCGAAATTATACAATTACAATAATGCAAAACTGATTGTGAAGTGTAAATTTTGCCTGCCAAGGCTTGAACGGAGCATACTTATATTAGAAAAAAAATGTACACTGCTTTTTTGTGCAAAGTATCTCCTTAAATAGAATTTGGTCTTGGATTATGAATGAATAAGGATATGCCACAGAATTACAAAATTACAAAACATTAATTTCAGAACATCTATATACAAGTGCCAGTAGGCATTAGATTAGAATAATTAAACGTATTCGCTAGTTTGTGTTCATGTGATCTCTTTCATTTCGTTTGATGTAAAACTATTTGTGGTATTGTAATTGTTGTTAAAGTGTTTATTATTTAGTTTTTTTTCTGTGATATTTTTTTTTCTGTTGCATGATGATGTCGGAATTGGAGTACAGTTATATATTAATCGTAATGATCAGAATAGTAACTGTAATTTATCAGAATAATAAGCAAGTTATAATTAGAATGGATATTATCAGGTAAAAGACTATCAATTATGTATATGTGAATAATAACGAAATCAATTATTCAGGCTTATCACGCGGTCAGGGGAGGTAACGCTTACACTCGTTACTGTTCAGAAGATAAATGATATCCATTTTCGATGTTATATGTGTAAAATGATCGACAATCTCAGCTAATTTAATTACCTTAAGATGTTTATTTCTGATTTTGAAGTCTTCGGGGGTTTCGGGGGTCTTTTGGGGTATTTTTTGGTATTTTGGTGTATTCTGGGGTAAACCGTACCGCCTAGCATACTACTTCCGATATATTCACTTCCGGTTGAGTATATCGAACGCCTATTGCTTCCAGGTGCTTCTACAAGATCTAGTACTGCGCCACTTATCCTGCAGAATGACAGAGGAAACACCGAATCTGAAGGTTTTCAGAGAAGCTGAAGTCAGAGACAACAAGGATAAATCAACGCTTTTAATAATACATGATAGTGTCTATGATGTAACGAAGTTCCTGGAAGAGGTAGGCCGATAGACATGTGGTGGGGTCAAGATATGTTACGTTGACCTTGTAGCGGGTTTGTTACAGACTGTATATATGCCACAGGTGTCACGTATACTAAGAATTATATCATTTGTATCTATTATTCAGATTTGGATAATCTGTTTGTAATTTAGATCAATATATTTTGTAGTTGATTTTCTTTTATTGATGAAACACAATTACATTGGTTATGCTATCAAATTTGTAGAAACTGAAAGTAGCAAGGACGCTTATTCAACTCGAGAACTGTGGTCTACCATTTTGGTGTCTTCTTCGTTTAGGTTTTTATGTTATCTTAGGTAAAAGAAATTTTTCATTTTCTTTCTATAGCTATGTCAGGTACAGGAGCACCAACAATGCTAACATTCATTTAAGTAAAAGCATAATACAGATATTACATTATAAGTACGTATACACGTATTTATCAGGACATCTTTATTATGACAATATGATTAGTAAAAACATCATACATGCAAACAATATCGTTTCAAAGGGATAACTCTTAAAAACCATAAGATGATAAGCTTCTAAAATGGCCCTATGTCTGTGGTCCGTCATCCATCTGTAAACAATTTTGTCATTGCTCTTTCTTGAGAGGTACTGGATGGATCTTTGTCAAATTCCATATGTAGGTTTTAAAAGAAGAGATATGAAATAAGTCATTGTGATATCACATTTAAAGTAGAGTAAAAAAAAAACATCATTTGCATGTCCAGTCAATAGGGTTAGATAAATGAGGTTGATTATAGTTTAAGATATTAAAGATATAACAAATTGTCATGAAATGTTGTCTGTGGACTGATGTTTTTAACAAAGATAAAACTGTATATTTTCTGCAGCACCCTGGCGGTGAGGAGGTCTTGCTGGAACAAGCTGGTATGTATAAGTATTTCAACAGTATTACTCATCAGAGATTAGATATGATGAGATTAGATTATGATATATGATATCTCTAGGCCTCTCTGGGTTTTATTTATAATGATGTTATAACTCTGTTTGGTTTGGGTGGAAGGCTTATTGAACCCACCTAGTGAAAATGATTTCTGCCTTGGACACATCCATTTGCATGTCCCTTTAATTGCTAATTAAAATTTCTAGATCCAATTTATTTGCACAATCAAAACTACCAAAAAGGGAATGTAAAGTGAAATGAGGTACAAAGGATGTGAAAAAGAGCCAAAGTAAATGTGAACTAGAGAGGGATATATTATCAAAAGATCTAATCAGAATAAAGTTATTGTCATATCAAACTGAATAAAGTTATTGTCATATCAAACAGGGAAAGATGCTACAGAAGCTTTTGAAGATGTGGGCCACTCAACTGATGCCAGAGAACTAATGAAAGATTATTTGATTGGGGAACTTCATGAGGTATGTGTAGTGGTAATTCAGTATTATTAGTCACACTGATTATTGATCTGTGTTATGAAGTTTAAATAATTCAGAAGTGATTTATTTGAAGTTGATATTAATGTCCTGTGTGTTGGTTTGCCTTGTTATTTGAACACCTGAGTATATAAATGTCCTGTGTGTTGGTTTGCCCTATTATATGAACACCTGAGTATATAAATGTCATGTGTGTTGGTTTTCCCTAATATATGAACACCTGAGTATATAAATGTCCTGTGTGTTGGTTTGCCCTATTATATGAACACCTGAGTATATAAATGTCCTGTGTGTTGGTTTTCCCTATTATATGAACACCTGAGTATATAAATGTCCTGTGTGTTGGTTTGCTTTGTTACATGAAGACCTGAGTATATAAATGTCCTGTGTGTTGGTTTGCCCTATTATATGAACACCTGAGTATATAAATGTCCTGTGTGTTGGTTTGCCCTATTATATGAACACCTGAGTATATAAATGTCATGTGTGTTGGTTTGCCCTATTATATGAACACCTGAGTATATAAATGTCCTGTGTGTTGGTTTGCCCTATTATATGAACACCTGAGTATATAAATGTCCTGTGTGCTGGCATTCCCTTTTATTTGAACACCTGAGTATAGATATGTCCTGTGTGCTGGTTTGCCCTATTATATGAACACCTGAGTATATTAATGTCCAGTGTGTTGGTTTGCCCTGTTACATGAACATCTGAGTATATAAATGTCCAGTGTTGGCATTCCCTGTTATTTTAACACCGGAGTATATAAATGTCCTGTGTGTTGGTTTGCCCTATTATATGAACACCTGAGTAAAATGATTTTGTTGGATGTGTTTCAGAGTGACAGAAAGGGAACTACAATAAAGGTATGTCATCACTATAGGCAGAACAAATCAGTGATTATTATTTTGAAATGTCTGCATGGATGTTGTGGTCTCAGAAACACTTCACTATCCAGTAAACAAATCAACAATTCTTGATAGAGGTGTACCTCAGAAGACACAAAAGAACTCTAGTTTGCTAAATGGTAACATCTTTTTGATAAAGACTGGAAATTTGACTGGTAAGGTCGAGAGTGCTTGATACCCCTAGTCTAGATCATAGCAAAACGGGAAAAAACAAACCTCTGAAATAGGATTTTAGCTGACGTGGTTTGAAGGACGATGAGCTTATACCATGACACAGCATCTGGCATCCATTAACTTTTAAATTGCTTTAAAGAACTTTAAATAAAATGTCCCTTTATTGTGCACCTGATTTTGAAAGTACATGCAGTGTAACAGGTTATATTTATGAAGTATGAAAAGGGATTGTTGAATCCTAATTTATCAATGATGTTTTGTAAATTATATGAACTGTAATCACTATGAAATTGATTGTTTTCCAGCCCAACACATCGATAAATGCACCGGTTTCAAATTCAGGCGGGTAAGTGTTAGAAATTTGTCTAAATAAGACACTTGCCAGGGAACAAGTTGTGTAGGGTAAGTGTTAGAAATTTGTCTAAATAAGACACTTGCCAGGGAACAAGTTGTGTAGGGTAAGCGTTAGAAATATATCTAAATAAGACACTTGTTAGGGAACAAGTTGTGTAGGGTAAGCGTTAGAAATATATCTAAATAAGACACTTGTTAGGGAACAAGTTGTGTAGGGTAAGTGTTAGAAATATATCTAAATAAGACACTTGTTAGGGAACAAGTTGTGTAGGGTAAGTGTTAGAAATATATCTAAAGAAGACACTTGTCTTTGAACAAAGTGAAGAAGGTAAGTATTGGAAACATATCTAAATGAAGTACTTGCTTTTAGAACTGTAGAGGGTAAGTGTAACAAATGCATCTGAGACATTTGCATTGGAACTGAGAAATTGATGGAATCAGAAGGAATTCTCTAATCGACACAGCAGATTACATGTACATTATTCTGACAAATGGTAGGATTTGTCTTGTTTTCAAAATTTTGTTTTGTTTTAAAATGGTAAAAAATCCACAATTTGACATCCACACTTATTTTTTTTATCAGAGAAATATGGAAAAATAGATCAATTTGAAGAAAACTTACATCATAATTGTAGTCGTGATGTAAGAGGTCCTGTAATATCTCCAGTGATGATATAAGTTTTCCTATGACAATGTATCATTTGTTGTTTAGACCAATCAGAGCAGAGCTTTGTAATCCTTTTAAGGTTTTTTCAGTTTGGACACAATTGAAGTGAATGTTGAATACATTGGTTATACAATGCCTGGGTGCTCAAGACTAAATAGTCTATGGTGTTAACAGGCATCTTTCTTGACAGCACATTGTATTTATTTTTAGTCTGTCTGAATGTTAAGTTGTGGCAAGTTGTTCAAGAATGACTCTTCAACTTGAGTAAAGAATAGTATGGAAATTTATTTGATGATAACATATTGTGATGGCAATTAGTCATACTAAATATTTCCTATCAATCCTTCAGACCTGAAGCCCACTTGTGAATATGAATTTTCTCCCTTGACTTTACATTGTTAAAGATGTGCAGGTTGTTGAATATACATCAAAAGATCTTCTAACATGATACTCTTCTTGTCTCCTGATTTCTCCTTGTTCATCTATCTTAATTCCGCAAATTTTCTCTAGTTCTTATTTCTACTAGTACTAATAGTAGCTTATCTTTCCTAAGTTCTCCCAGTATTTACAGTAACCTACCTCTTCTAATTTCTACTAGTACTAATAATAGTCATGCTTTCCTAACTTCTCGTAGTATTTACAGTAACCTACCTCTTCTAATTTCTACAAGTACTAATAGTAGTCATGATTTCTTAAGTTCTCCTAGTATTTACAGTAACCTACCTCTTCTAATTTCTACTAGTACTAATAGTAGCTTATCTTTCCTAAGTTCTCCCAGTATTTACAGTAACCTACCTCTTCTAATTTCTACTAGTACTAATAATAGTCATGCTTTCTTAACTTCTCCTAGTATATACAGTAACCTACCTCTTCTAATTTCTACTAGTACTAATAGTAGCTTATCTTTCCTAAGTTCTCCCAGTATTTACAGTAACCTACCTCTTCTAATTTCTACTAGTACTAATAGTAGTCATGCTTTCCTAACTTCTCCTAGTATTTACAGTAACCTACCTCTTCTCATTTCTACTAGTACTAATAATAGTCATGCTTTCCTAACTTCTCCTAGTATTTACAGTAACCTACCTCTTCTCATTTCTACTAGTACTAATAATAGTCATGCTTTCCTAACTTCTCCTAGTATTTACAGTAACCTACCTCTTCTAATTTCTACTAGTACTAATAATAGTCATGCTTTCCTAACTTCTCGTAGTATTTACAGTAACCTACCTCTTCTAATTTCTACTAGTACTAATAGTAGTCATGATTTCTTAAGTTCTCGTAGTATTTACAGTAACCTACCTCTTCTAATTTCTACTAGTACTAATAGTCATGATTTCTTAAGTTCTCCTAGTATTTACAGTAACCTACCTCTTCTAATTTCTACTAGTACTAATAGTCATGATTTCTTAAGTTCTCGTAGTATTTACAGTAACCTACCTCCTCTAATTTCTACTAGTACTAATAGTAGTCATGATTTCTTAAGTTCTCGTAGTATTTACAATAACCTACCTCTTCTAATTTCTACTAGTACTAATAGTCATGATTTCTTAAGTTCTCCTAGTATTTACAGTAACCTACCTCTTCTAATTTCTACTAGTACTAATAGTCATGATTTCTTAAGTTCTCGTAGTATTTACAGTAACCTACCTCTTCTAATTTCTACTAGTACTAATAGTAGTCATGATTTCTTAAGTTCTCGTAGTATTTACAGTAACCTACCTCTTCTAATTTCTACAAGTACTAATAGTAGTCATGCTTTCCTAACTTCTCCTAGTATTTACAGTAACCTACCTCTTCTACTTTCTACTAGTACTAATAATAGTCATGATTTCTTAAGTTCTCGTAGTATTTACAGTAACCTACCTCTTCTAATTTCTACTAGTACTAATAGTCATGATTTCTTAAGTTCTCCTAGTATTTACAGTAACCTACCTCTTCTAATTTCTACAAGTACTAATAGTAGTCATGCTTTCTTAAGTTCTCCTAGTATTTACAGTAACCTACCTCTTCTAATTTCTACTAGTACTAATAGTAGCTTATCTTTCCTAAGTTCTCCTAGTATTTACAGTAACCTACCTCTTCTAATTTCTACAAGTACTAATAGTAGTCATGCTTTCTTAAGTTCTCCTAGTATTTACAGTAACCTACCTCTTCTAATTTCTACTAGTACTAATAGTAGCTTATCTTTCCTAAGTTCTCCCAGTATTTACAGTAACCTACCTCTTCTAATTTCTACTAGTACTAATAATAGTCATGCTTTCCTAACTTCTCGTAGTATTTACAATAACCTACCTCTTCTAATTTCTACAACTACTAGTAGTGGCCTAAATACTTGATAAATTCTGGATGGATCTTGATCAAATTTCATATTAAGGTTTGCCCGGGTCCCTAGTTGTGCTGGTTTTGTATTGGAAATTACCAGAATAGCAAAATGGCCCCACAAATAGCTGTCTATCAGAAATAATGCACTGGATGGTTCTCTTTCAAACTTCATATTTAGGTTTCCATTGGTCCCTTGTTATGTCCTTTTGATTTTCGTAGTGTGCAGAAAAATAAAATGGTCGACAGGCAGCCATCAAAGAAAGGTTGCACAAGGATTCCTCTTGGAACTCTTATTTCTACTTTTTTAAGCCAACCATCATCAGATGGTGGGCTATTTAAATCACCCTGTGTCAGCGGTCTGTGGTCCATCTGTCCATAAACAATTTTTGTTATCATTGTTTCTTGAGAAGTTTAGAATGGATCTCTCTCAAATATCATATATAGGTTTCCCCTGATGTCTAGTTGTGCATTTGTTTTTCTGGGACTGATCAGAAAAAGGAAAAGTCTGAAAGGCATCCATCTTCGATTTTGACTTTGAAAGTCTGTTATTGTTATGTCTCGAGAAGAGCCTGTTGTTTTTTTCTTATATTTCCTATGTAGGTTTCCTTTGGTTCCTTGTTGTGCCCATTTGATTTTATATCTGATCAGAAAAATAAAATGGTTGACAGGCAGCCATCTTGTAATTTTGTTTTGAAAGTTTATTATCGCTATTTTTTAATGAATCTTTCTCAAATTTCATATGTAGGTTCCCCTTGGTGTCTTGTTGTGCCTATTTGAGTTCGGGACTGATCAGCAAAACAAAATGGTCAGCAGACAGCCATCTTGGTTTTTTACTTTGAAAGTTTGTTATCACTTTTTCTTATGAATAGGGGGATTGATCTTTGTCAACTTTAATGTTTAGGGTCCTCTAGGTCCCTAGTTGTACCTATTTGAATTTGGGACTGATCAGAAAAACAAAATGGCGGACAGACCGCCATCTTGGATTTTGTTTAGTATAGATTGTTACTACTATTTCTGAAGAAGTGAATGGATGTCTCTAAAATCACATACATATGTTCCCTTTGGTCTCTCCTTGTGCTCGTTTGCTTTTGGGACTCCTCAGAAGAAACAAAATGGCTTTCAGGTGGCCATTTTGGATTTGGCAGTTAAAAGATTATCATTTATTTCTGTAAAGGAATTTTCAAGTGTCTTTTCATTGAGAGCAAAAACACAGAAGAGAAGAGAAAATAACGAAAAAATTCAACTTTCAAAGAGCATATAAAGATCAAACAATGGTGGGCACTAAGACCCCTCTGTGATCACTTGTTTACTCTTAAAATGTATATGATATTTGCAGACTTTTAAATCCTAAGTCAAATATTTTTGACTTCAAAATTAGCTCTGTCTCTGAATGGTGTTTGTACTGTATCTAATCTGTAATCCTTTTCAAGTAAAACTTGTAAAGTAAAACTATATCCTGAATAAGGTAAAGACATCAAGAATAATTATTTTTTTATATATAGAGTCTTGTTGTTTACAGTGGCTGGACTGGCTGGTTACTTCCACTCGGTGTGGCACTGGCTGCTGCCTTCCTGTACCGCTATTTCATGGCACAACAAAACAGCTGAAATCATATATTCCACCCAGACATGTTGGACCAATCATTGTTGTGACTGATCTCGACCATAGTGCTTTTTATGTTGCCTCCAAGCTCTCATAGAAAGTATCCAGAGACCAACTGTTTTATAATCAGAATGCAGTAGCTTATGGCTGTCCACTTTGATCTACTTCATGGATGAATTCATGCTGATCTTGATTTTCTTTGTTAATTATTTATGAACATTAAAGCATTTTTTTTCAGGTCAGAAACCATATTTAAAAATGAGTTTCTGAACATTGTTCATGATTTCAAATGAATGTATGTCACTGACTAGACAATAAATCATTGTATAAAGCAGTGTGAATGTTGTAACTATTTTAAGCCTGTCTATTGGAAGAATATGGAACAGATATGTCCAGATGTCGCATATCCCGGATAATGTTAATCTGCAATTATTCAGATGGTATAAATTATGTAACATATGATTAATACTTCAGTGCTGATGTTCTGGTATAATGACAGTTTTACATACATATATCAGTATTGAAAACGTTTAGTGTATAACTAAATGTGTAAAATATGGTTTCAATATTTAGTATTAAGGTGGTTTTCTGGTTTCCAATATAAGGTAATGAAATAAATTAAGAATCAGATTAAAAGACTTTTACATTTTTATTTAGATTTTTTAAAAAAAATTTTATCTATCCAAAAACATATGAGGAATAAATAGAATCATATATACTATCAGTCTATAACTCCCACCGTCACACACTTACAGAGTATAGTCATGCATCATTTTCACCACTAAACACACAGAATTTTGAGTTGCACACTATATCTTAACTATCATAGACACTATGTAACACAATCACTCTAAACATATATTTATAACTTGCAGCCATACTAGTACTCCAGCATTATTACATATACAAACAACATCAGCATCTGACATCAACATCATCATATACAATCATCATCCTCATCACACATTAGCATCATCACATACCATCAGCATCATAATGGTCACCTATCAACATTAGCATCATCACACTTCAGCAGCGTTACACATCTGCATTATCACATACCAAAATCAGCATCGTCACACCTCAACATCATCATATATACCAACATCAGCAGCATCACACATCCGCATTATCAGCTTCTTCACACACTTTAACCTCCATGCATAAGGATGCTGCAGTAATTTCTCCATAAACTAGTATGGACTCATAACAAGTGAGCAACTGACAGCTGTAACTATATAACTGAAAGATAAATGTTCCTAGATATAATGAAATAGACAAATACAAAACAAAACGTGATGATTTTTTTTATTAGAGAGAAAAGGGGGAATAACAAAGAGGGGGGAAAGAGAGATGGACTGGTTAAGACACACTTTGTATATGAATAGGGTAAAACTTTTTTTTTAACTATACCTGATAAAAATTACAAGTATTTTAATTAAATACTGCCAAGGCCAAGGGGAAGAAAAATGAAAAAGCATGTGTTCACAAAATTATGGGGAAAAATAGATTAATAAAATGATAATAGGTTCAAAGAAGTAATATTTTATTCCATTTTCTCCATCTTCATTGAATTTTTTCTAAAAAGAATCTCCCTTAGCTGTAGCTTCTTAACCTTTTAATGATCCTTAATGGTATTAATCAGTGCATGTATGTCAAGAGAGTTCTTAAAGCATCTTGAATTGTATATGTACTGTTTAATGATAATATTAATTTCATTATCAGTTTTGCTGTACAAATTTTTCAGTGGCCAAAAACCAAAGAAAAAGGACTGCTTGTTGACAGAAAAAGGGATTAGCAGTGCTTCTAAAAGAATTTCAAAACTTAGTAAAAAATTCTGGACTTTTTCACATTCCCACGATATATGTGTTAAAGTTTCAGTCTCAGACAAACAAAAAGTGCAGAGTGGACTATACATTCTTCACCTTATACAGAAATAAGTTTGTAGTCAAAGTGTAATGTAAGACTCTGTACTGAAACCAATGAAGCTTAGAATTATTAGTAATCTTAAAATGTAAAGAAAAGATATTTGCCCAAGTGGATTCCTCAAAGTTAAACTGTTCAGCCCATTTCTTTCTACCTGTAGGGATTTCATTATTTTTTATAAAACATCTATAAATATCATTTGTCCCTTTTGCCCGTAGGAAAAAAGGTTCAATGTTGTAAGGAATAAAAGGCAAAGAAAAATCTGAATCCTCATCCATATGCAGATCAGTATTCTTCTTAATAGAGTTTAAGATTCCTTGAAACCTAAGAAAATTTGTGACAATACCATATTTTTCAGAAAATTCATTAAAAGAGTAGAAAGAGACTGTATTTGAAACCTTTAACATATCATTTACAACTCTAACACCTTTTGAAAACCAGTCTTTGTAGAAAACAGAATGCCCACCTATAGTTAATTTTGGGTTATACCAAAGAGGTACTTTCAGTGGAGAGAGTTGTCTACCTTTAATTTTGAGCTTTATGGTCAGTAACTTTTCCCAAGCTTGGAAAACATCACTCTAAAATTTATTTTTACATTTTTCCTGACACTTTTTTTATATAATCACTTCCACAGTTTATAGCAAGATCAGTATTAATTTGTCTTTTGAATAAAATTGTCCACTTACTTGGAGAAGAACTTAAAAAAAATTTCCTAATCCAACCTAACTTCAATGCATTTATGAAATCTGAGATACTTACCATCTTCAAACCTCCCTCAAAATAGTTTTTAACAATGATATTTCTTTTAAATTTATCAGTTTTCCCATTCCATAAGAAGTTAAAAAGGATAGTATTTAAGTAATTTATATTACTTGGATTTGGAAGGGCAATAAATAAATGATTAAATTGTGAGATTAAAAGTGACTTAATGACATGTATCTTCCCAATTGGAGATATTATTCTTCTAATCCAAGATTTAATAAGAGATTTTAGTTTTATTAATTTTTTGTCAAAATTTAGTTTAGGAATTTCATGGAAGTTTACACTAAAATCAATCCCTAATAATGTAAATTTATCCTTTCCCTACTGTAAGTTATGCTCTGGTAAAAAAGTGTCTGTAGAATATTTCTTACTACCAATCCATATTACCTGTGTTTTTCTAGTATTAATCTTAAGACCTGAAATATTTGCATACAAGTTAAGCTCCGTTACAGATTCACATACAGATTTTTCTGACCCACCAAGTATCAAGGAAGTGTCATCGGCATACTGAGAGAGAGGTATTGGAAAATCACCTACACTTATGCCACTTATATATTTTTGTTTTCCCTTATTCTTATTGCTAGAATATCCATGCATAATATGAAGATATACGGTGAAATTGGGTCGCCTTGCCTGCAGCCACGCTTTACTTCGAAGAAGTTTGATACGTTTCCCCCTTGATTTACTGCTGAACTGGCATTTTTGTGAAGAGTTTTGACCCACTTTCTAATACTCACTCCAAAGCCAAAAAAGTTAAGTGTTTTATCCATAAATTCCCATGAAACAGAATCGAAGGCTTTCTCAAAATCGATCATAAGTAGCATTCCTCGAATATTATTTTCTTCAGTAAAATTCATTATATCATGAATAAGCCTAGTATTTTCACCTATATAGCGTCCCGATAAGAATCCAGTTTGATCATGGTTAATAATTTTGTCTAAAACTGACTTCACCCTATTCCCTATTTTTTATTTAAATTTGCCAATTTCTAGTAATATACGTAAATCCATCAAAACGCAAGTAAATATTGACGTGAAAATGTTTAGTTGTGACCTTTTGTGTACTACTGTTGATATCAATAATATAAAGTTGTGTGTGACCTTTTGTGTACTACTGTTGATATCAATAATATAAAGTGACCTTTTGTGTACTACTGTTGCTATCAATCATATAAAGTTGTGACCTTTTGTGTACTACTGTTGGTATCAATAATATAAAGTTGTGACCTTTTGTGTACTACTGTTGGTATCAATAATATAAAGTTGTGACCTTTTGTGTACTACTGTTAATATCAATAATATGAAGTTGTTTGTGACCTTTTGTATACTTCTTTTGTGTACTACTGTTGGTATCAATAATATAAAGTTGTGTGTGACCTTTTGTGTACTACTGTTGGTATCAATAATATAAAGTTGTGTGTGACCTTTTGTGTACTACTGTTGGTATCAATAATATAAAGTTGTGACCTTTTGTGTACTACTGTTGGTATCAATAATATGAAGTTGTTTGTGACCTTTTGTATACTACTGTTGATATCAATGCTATAAAGTTGTGACCTTTTGTGTACTACTGTTGGTATCAATGCTATAAAGTTGTGACCTTTTGTGTACTACTGTTAATATCAATAATATGAAGTTGTTTGTGACCTTTTGTGTACTACTGTTGGTATCAATAATATAAAGTTGTGTGTGACCTTTTGTGTACTACTGTTGATATCAATAATATAAAGTTGTGACCTTTTGTGTACTACTGTTGATATCAATAATATAAAGTTGTGTGTGACCTTTTGTGTACTACTGTTGTGTGTGACCTTTTGTATCAATAATATAAAGTTGTGTGTGACCTTTTGTGTACTACTGTTAATATCAATAATATAAAGTTGTGACCTTTTGTGTACTACTGTTAATATCAATAATATAAAGTTGTGACCTTTTGTGTACTACTGTTGGTATCTTTTGTGTACTACTGTTGGTATCAATAATATAAAGTTGTGACCTTTTGTGTACTGCTGTTGGTATCAATAATATAAAGTTTTGTGTGACCTTTTGTGTACTACTGTTGGTATCAATAATATAAAGTTGTGACTTTTTGTGTACTACTGTTGGTATCAATAATATAAAGTTGTGTGTGACCTTTTGTATACAGCTTTTGTGTACTACTGTTGGTATCAATAATATAAAGTTGTGTGTGACCTTTTGTGTACTACTGTTGATATCAATAATATAAAGTGACCTTTTGTGTACTACTGTTGGTATCAATCATAAAGTTGTGACCTTTTGTGTATGTATCAATAATATAAAGTTGTGTGTGACCTTTTGTGTACTACGTTGGTATCAATAATATAAAGTTGTGTGTGACCTTTTGTGTACTACTGTTAATATCTATAATATAAAGTTGTGACCTTTTGTGTACTACTGTTGGTATCAATAATATAAAGTTGTGTGTGACCTTTTGTGTACTACTGTTGGTATCAATAATATAAAGTTGTGTGTGACCTTTTGTGTACTACTGTTGGTATCAATAATATAAAGTTGTGTGTGACCTTTTGTATAATGCTTTTGTGTACTACTGTTGGTATATCAATAATATAAAGTTGTGTGTACCTTTTGTGTACTACTTTTATCAATAATATAAAGTTGTGTGTGAC